GTGCCCCGCAACCGGGTTTTCCGGGGGATTGCACGTGCCCGGCGGGCTGCGCCCAAGGCGAGCCCTGCCGGCAAAGCCGCTGCCAAGGCTAAATCGTAGTCACTTATCTTCTTAGGCGTTTGTACCTACTTACGTAGAGCGCAAATCAGTGGTGGGGATTCTTTCAGCTATATGTAGTTCTAGGCATTAGGTACATCCTTTAGTGACGGTTATGTTGCTGCGCTTTGGCCTTTTTTTCTGCGAGTCTGGCCGTTTGCCGCTCGCGTGCATGCCTTGTTTGACTTTTTCAACCTTTCAATAAAAACAATCTCGGTTTCCCAGTCCAATTACTGTGTAAGTCCTTTGAAAGCTGTAGGGTGTTGTAATAATACGCATACAACAACTAAACTAACAATGTGTGTTATCACTGCTTAGTCGTTGTGTTGTGGTATTGGACTGGGAAACCCTGGGGCCGACTGCGTCTTTTGTGGAGCTGTTAATTTCCTTTCCTCCCGGGTTATTTGTTCTTTGGGGTTACTTGCGGGTTTTGTCAAGTTAGGTTTGGGCGTAGCATCAAGCTTTGTTTTGGAGGGAGGGGGGAAATTGCAGCTCCGCAAACGTAGTAACTTGCGGGTCGGTGTGTCGGAGCGAAGCTTTGCTTCCAGATGCCGAGACACACCGATCCGCATGGGTTCCGTGGATGGACAGTAGGGCTAAGGGTTTAGGGGTTGGGGCTTGGGGTTTAGGGTTTAGGGCTAAGGGTTTAGGGTTTTTGGTTTAGGCTTTCGGGTTTAGGATTTCGGGTGTAGGCTTTAGGGCTTAGGGCTGTAGGTTTAGAGTTTGGGGTTTAGGGTTTCGGGTTTAGGCTTTAGGGGTTTGGGCTTTAGGTTTAGAGTTTGGGGTTTAGGGGATGGGGTGAGGGTTCGGAGTGCAGGGTTCAGGGTTTAGGAGGGCCTGGGGACGCGACGGTTTACGGCGGCCTGAAGGAGGGGTAAATGAGGCTCCCTTTTAGGGTTCTTTTTATAGGTGTGCCGTACTATGAACCCTAAACCCCTAAACCCCTAAACCTTAAACACTAAACCCCTAAACCCTTTGTCGGGGACCGAAATAGGGACCTCAACTTAGAGAACGAACCCAATCCTGAGCCCTTAAACTAGGATTTCGGTAGGGGGAAGGTAGGGTTTACAAGCCGGAAAAACCCCCGGAACCCTTTAAACCCGACGAGAGTTGGGAGCTTTATGGAGCAAACTCTTAATGCCTAAACTCCAACCCCCCAACGGTTTAGGGTTTTAGGGCTTAAGGGCTCTATACCCTACACCCTTAACCACCGAAGGCCTTAGCCCAAAACCCGAGTCGGAAGCTTTCCACGCCCGGGCGCCAATTCTCCAGAAGTCAAAACACGGAGGCCGACCGACACTAATTTGTAATAGTCAGACAAATGGCAATGGCAGTAACGCTTGTAGTAAGGCTTGATGAGTCCTTATTGTAATCATAGAAATGGCAAGAACCATGGCTGCTTGGATAGTCTAGCCAATCTAGAGCCGATACAGGCTCTATAGCAAAATAAAAGGCCCCTGAGCTCTCACTTGTACACCGAAGCCGAAGGCATCCCCTCCCTACGACTTGGCTACCTGATGTCCACGCCCGCCAATATCTCGGCGCTGTGCTGCGTGCTCCGGCCACGCTTGGGGGTTCTCTGTCAGAGGGTTCAGGGTTTAGGGGTTAGGGTTCGGGGTAGCCGATCCTTGGCTGTGTGAAAAGGAAACAGTAGGCCAATGAAGGCATAGAGTTCCTGTGGATGGACACATTTTCAGTAAGGCTTTAGGAACTTTAGGGTTTAGGCTATTCCGGTTTAGAGGCTTTTGGGTTGTTGGGGCCGGGGGGGGTGCTGAGCCCACAGCCACTCAGCAACCTTTTAAAGGAACCCTGTTCTAATTATTCTAAGCCCTAAACTCTAACCCCAAACCCTAAACCCTTGTATTCGAAGCTCTGGGCTTCGGCTTGCTCTGTCGAGCCGGTTAGCTCGACCATCCCAAAGCAGCCTGACGGTTCTTGCTTCGAATTTCAGAGGGTTTAGGGTTTAGGGTTTAGGAACTTGACAGGGGTCCCGGCTCATGTGCAGACGCCCCCCAATCCCGCAGACCGATCCCTGAAACCTACCTCTCACTTGCTTTCCGCCGTCAGTAATATAGGCGCCTTAGAGACCCTAAGCCCCAAACCCCCCAAAACTCTCAAACCCGGAAGCCTTAACTCCTTATACCGTATATACCTATACACTCTACTATACCCTACCCTATATGATACTCTACTCTACACCAGACTATACTACACTGTACTATGCCTTAAATCCCAGATTTCGAAGCCCTAAACCCAAAACCCTAAACCCTAAACCCCTAAACCTGCAGACAGGTCCGGGGTCCCTATGATATCAATCAGATCGCCGTCGTTGCCATCCAGGCGGCAATGAAGAAGCCGCAGTATGTGTGGCTTGGAGCGATGGGAAGGGTGTGCAGAGAAGGTTCAGGGTTTAGACTTCAGGATATGGGGTTTAGGGGTAAGCAAGGGTGCGCAGAGTAGGCTTTACGGCTTGAGGTCTAGGATTTAGTCCCGACTTGCTCCCCTGGTATCAGCTGCATCCCAGTATTCGGTGCCCGGTCGACGGAAGCCATCCAAACCCTCAACCCTAATTAAGCCTTAATTAAACCCGAAACCCCAAACCTTACATCCTGAACCCTACACTCCCCTAAACCCTAAACCGTAAGCCCTGAACCCCTTTGAAACCTAAGCCCTAGCCCCCCCTCCCCCACTTAAACTGTAAGCCCTCTTTTGGGATTCCCTTTCGGAACTATGGCACCACTTACTCCCAAGCCCTTGAAGGCCCCTATATGGATAGTTCTCTAAACTAGGGTCCCTTTTAGGTTCCCCAAATAGTACGGCACCTTTATAAAACGGTCCCTAAGGGAGCCTAGTTTAGAGAACCACCCATATTAAACCCTAAGCCCTAAACCCTAAACTCTAAGCCCTAGGCCCCCAACTCTTCGCTATCATCCCCCAGGTTCGACTACGTCAAGGAGGTGAATGAGCGCTCCAAGCCGCTCTTCGAGGCTTTTTCCGGGGCTTCCTGGGCTTTCGAGAGTTACGTTTCCAAGGGCTTTTATGGGGTTTTAGTCAAGCTTGAAGGGTGACTTGTAGGGTTGTAAGGCATTGATGAGTTTTGTCGGGATCTGTGTTAGACTCAGCTTGGAGTGGCGTTTTAAAGGCAAAGTTAGTCCGGCGAGTGCGTGTGCCCCTTTAAAGACGCCCCTCTTCACATTGCCGGAGCCTTTTCTGTTTCAGCCATTCGTGGCATTGTTCGTTCTTTCAAAGTTTGCTCAACCCGAAAAGAGCAGATCTTGAGGTTTGTTGTTATTACATTGTAACCCTAAACCCTAAACCCTATACATTGCTGCGGATTTTGGGACTTGGGAGTCAGGGTTGGGTGGGCGGAGAGGCGAGGGGCGGGCGTTGTGCGTTCGACCGAAGCTGCTTGCGGAGCTCTGCACAGGAGTTCCTCAACAAGAAGGGGATCGGCTACTGGCCGACCGTGGCTAACTTCATCTTCTGCTATTTTCAGGACCGGGCACTCTCAACCGCCGCTTGTGTCAGGGCTTCGAGATTTGGCTTTCGTATTGAGGGCTGGAGCCGTTGCTGCTCCGACCGGTGAGGCATGGAAACAGCAGACAGCCTAATATAGGGGCCTGAATAACGCCAATACTGTCTGGGGGTTCCTCAGTATATCTGTAGCATAATCGGATAATAAAAACCCCCGAACCCTATTCTAATTATTAAACTCCTATGTTGGACAATCACATGCTCAGCGCGCTGTAACTAGAGTCGGAAACCCAAGGAAACTACCGTGCTACCTAAGTTCAATAGCTTGATACCAAGATGCTCACATCCGAGAATCACCAAAGCCCCAACCTCCGAACTCCATAGTAAATCCTAGAGCCCGAAGCCCTCAAGTCTAAACCCCGAAACCCTAAGCCCTAAGCCCTCAACCCTAAATCCTAAACCATAAGCCCTAAACCCTGAACCCTAAACCCTAAACCCTCAACCCCTAAATCCCTAAGCCCGGAACCAACTCTGAACCCTAACTCCCAGCTTCCCTGCAGGACCCAAAGACTACGGAGGCGAAGCTCAGGGAGCGCGGAATCCTGGTGCGTCCGAAGAAGGCCCGGCCTCTGGTGGGTTGAGCCTTGTAGCGTTTTTATAGGGTCTCAGGGTTTATACAGGGTTTTAGGGCTTTAGGGTTTTAGGGTTTATATAGGGCTTTAGGGTTTTAGGGTTTTAGGGTTTTATTATTTTAGGGTTTTGGGTTAGGGGGGTTTAGTTGTGGGTTCTTCTAGTCTGAGGGTCACTTTTGAGGGGTTCTCTGAAAGGTTCATTATTGGGTTTTAGTGTTTACGTTTGGGGGTGTTCCAGTAGAGTAGATGTATCCAAATCCTCAGACCCCGAAACCCTAAACCATCCCGAAACAATAAGCTAAACCCTAAACCCTTAACCCTAAACCGCTTGTAAACTTTCCGTCCTGTTCATTCTGGTTGCCAGGATATCTGAACTGATCCACCTCCGCGTCAGTCTAAAGGCCTTGGGCGTACAAAGCATTCTCAACGGAACCTAGTCTGATCCAGGCCAACCTAATCTCAGCCGTCACTGGGTACAAGTTTTGCAGTAGAAGGCTCGGAAATTTTGCAGCCACATGAGTGCGAAACGTGCCGATGTCTGCAAAGCCTACGACTCCTCTGAACACACCGAAGAAATTCAGATGCACTGCAATATCCAGACTTCTGTGTGGTGTGGTATGCTGAAGGACGCCAACGACACCCTGGGCCTGCGCGTGAGCTTCGGCACGGAGCAGCAGATGAGGGACACTATCAAGGTGCCTGACCCGGCCATACGTTCGTTTCGATTTTATAAAGGTTCGTCAACTGCAAAGCCCTAGAGTTGCGAAATACATACTCGCCCCGAGCCCTAAGCCTTAAATAATCCTACGACCAAGCCAGGCGATGGAGGAGCTTCTCTGACGTGGAGGACTGACAGGAACCCAGCAGTGAGAATTTCTTGCCGGGTTGGCTCTGAGTGTTCAGCTTTGGGGATGCCACCCTCGTTTTTGCACTCTAAACCCTAAACCCTAGACCGTCTGGTTGTTGCATGTCTTTGCATCTAAAGTTGTTTTGATATTCTGGATCAGCCTTTCCGAGGTGCAGCTTAGGAGGTGCTGTCGTCATCGCGTCACGAAGTCGAAGAGTGAAGCACCCCTAAACCCTAAACCCTAAACCCTAAGCACTCGCCTTGAATTCGCACCCCGAGCCCCTACGACCTGAGCCGGTAGAGCTCAGTCCAGGCTTCAAGTGTGGTGCGTGAAAGGGTTCTGGGTTCATTTGCATAGGGGTTTTGGGGCCCATGATACTATAACTATAATAAAGAACTCCCAAAATAGGTTTTGGGGCCCATTATACTATAACTATAATAAAGAACCCCCCCCAAAAAATAGGTATAGGTAATTATTTAGGCCCCTATATATGGGTAGTTCTCTAAAGTTTGGTGCCTTTGTGATAGTGCATGTCGGACTTTTCAAGATTTCTTGAGCAGGCCGAAGCATCTGGCAGTCGGATCATGACAGTCTTGAGGTTGGTGTTTCAGGGAAGGGGCAGGACTGGCTTTGAGTTTTGAGCTCAGGGCCCAAGGCGCTTCAACAAATATGTCTACCTCTCGTATCACCTTGCAGGCTTGAAGCTGTCTTGAGAGCGATGATAAGCGATGCAATAGTATAGGGGCCTTAATAATTAGAATAGGGTTTGGGGCTCCTTATTATAATTATAGTATTGTATACCCCAAGCCACATTCTGCGTGTCTATTGCCCAAGATGCCTTTCTTCAGCCTGGTGGTGGTCAGCGTTCTCAGCAGATTCGGGAGTAGCTGTCGCACTCGTCACAACAATTGCTGACACCAGTCTGCTGTATTCACGAGCACAACAACCCAGAGCCATGACAACACAACACATCAGAAGCACACGAGAACAAGAATGCTGGCAAGGCCCAGACGAAGATCACGAACAACAAGAACAACAAAGACAATACTACAGATGGCTAACAGCAGTGGTAAGACCAGCCGTTGTTGAGTTGTAGACCTGCCACTAGCCTGGGCTAAACACCCCCAAACCCTAAACCCTAAACCCTAAACCCTAAACCCTAACAGATCTCGAAGTTGCCGCCAGCCTTGAAAGGAGATGCGTCGATTTCTGACTACGTAGTGATGCTTTCGTCGCCGCCGGCGAGAACACCATGGGACTTCGGAGTGACGAGGTCCCTGCGCTACGTAGTTGCATGCATGAGTTAGGCTCCAGCACTTCGGGCCCCGTAGATCCCTGAAGCCCTAAACCCACTTCAAACCCTGCATTAACCTCGGGCATGAAAGCCTCAAGCTTCCAATATCCGACATCCATTCTCACTCCTAGCTCTGAGCCCGAAGCTTGTTTCGGGGGCTACTACAGAAGCTGAAATAACTACGAACATACTCCTTAGGGTTCCTTATAGACTTATAGATATACCCCAAAACCCTATTCCAACTATTTCGGGCCCCTACATTAGGCCTACCAGCGTTGCGTTCTCCCTGCGTGCCATTTCTCTGTTGACCTTCGGGTTCGGCACTGCCAGGCCCTAGTCGAACACCGGCTCAACTCTTTTAGTCTTGGGCGCGAAACTCGACCTCAGGGGCTTGGAGTTCAATTCGGGTTGGGAGCAGGGCTTCGTCGGGTTTAGGGTTTGGGGTTTAGGGTTGAGGGCTTCGTCGCGATGTGCACTTAGTTTCGGTTTAAGAATGCCTTGGCTGACAGTGCGACAAGGCTCCTGAATGCCTTGCAGCAGTCCAATCTGTACAGTTCAATCATTCAGCGCCGCTGGAAAATCTTGCAGTCGTCAAAGTCAAGATCTTCGATGGAACCCTAAACCCTAAACCCTAAACCCTAAACCCTAAACCCTAAACTTGGAGTTCAACCGTGGCAGCTGCAGCTTAGAAGCCGCACCGTCTCAGAATCCTTGCTTCACATTCGCGAGATGCTTCCGTCAAGATCTCCCGGAGTAGGACAGGGGTCGTTCTGCGACATTGGCTCACCTCATGGCAAAAAAACCCAAGCCCCAAGATGCCAAAGCTGCACTGCGTGTTATGACTCTAATATAGGGGCCTCAATAATTAGCTATTGTATTATTTTGGGGCTCCTTATTAACTATAAAGGACCCAAAGCCACAAGTGACAAGATTGAATCTAGACTGCTCTGCTTGATTTGGTTTGGATCATGGAGCCCCCGGCATGTCTTTTTAGCAATATTTGGCAGTCAAGCTGCAAGACACAAGTTCTATGTACAGCCTGTCCTGCAGAGCTGCGATGTCCAAGACATCTGGACAAGCTGACGACGCACCTCAGCTGCACATGTGATAAATGTGAGTTTGACGAGAGGTTCCACTTTGGGCAAAGAGTGGACGTCAATCAAAGTCCGTAGCAGGCTCGGCGGACCAAGTCATTGATCCAGTACTATCAGGCTGCAAGCGTTCTATGACTTAATATAGGGGCCTCAGTAATTACCTATTTTTTTTTTTTGGGGGGGGGGTTCCTTATTATCATTTCACTACAAAGGACCCAAAAACTCTAGTCTAATTATTAAGGCCCCTACGTTACTGTAGGAGCAGCATCCGAGTCTGAGTATGCCATGTCATCTGGCCGGCAACATTTCGTGATATTGCGGCCTTCGGCCCCCCTCCAGGCCCTATACCCTAAACCCTAATATAGGGGCTTGAATAATTACCAATACTACTTTGGGGGCTCCTTATTACAACCATGGTATAGTCTACCCCCCCAAACCCTATTCGAAGTATTAAGGCTTCTACCTTAAAACCCTGAACCCCAAGCCGAAACTGAGCGCCTGAGGCCCGGAAAGGTTTTCGGACGGCAAAGCGAAGCCAACTCCTGCTGTCGCCAGGAGGAAATACACAACCTGCGAGGGGTTTTGGGGGTTCCGTTTCAGGGTTCCTTAAAGGGTTCTATAAGGGTTACTATAAGGGTTTAGGGTTTACGGACCTCCATGCCGCAGGATGGGATGCTCGGTGTAGTTGGGTATTTCGGTGCAACATAGAGGCCTTAGTAATTACCTGTATTATTGTGGGGGTTCCTGGTTATAGTTATAGTACAATATACCCCAAAACCCTCTTCTAATTATTAAGGCCCCTAAACCCTAAACCCTTATGGTAGCCCTGATAGTATCCCTTTTCGGGGAACCCTTTTTAAGGATCCCTTTAAAGGAACCCTATTCTAATTCTTAAGACCCCTACAGTAAGTACTGTGCAGTGTGTTTTGTGGAGTCGACCATCGTGCAGACATTCGTCGGGTGTGGTGACGGCATGGATCTCTTGGCAGCTTTGGTGGTGCGTATGGTTTAGGGTTTAGGGTTTCGGGTTTAGGGAATATGACTCAAATGTAGGTTAATTTCCATGAACAGACAGATAAATCCATGTGTAAGCCGAAATAAGGGCTTGCTCTGTTCCGCGTGCGCAGAAATTTTGTTCATTGGTTCGGGATTGTAGTATGTTGCCTTGAACAAAGAAGTGCTTGCCTCCCCAAACCCCAAAATCCTGCAATCCCAAAGAGAAATCCCCCAAATCTAAAATCCAGACGAGCCGTTCCTTTCGGTTCACACACACAGGCCCCCAGTGACTCCAAAATCCCTTGATTGAAGAATATACCTTAAATTACAATGGGAACCCTTAATTAAGGAACATACCTTAAAACTTATTGGGCACCCCAATAAGATTTAAGGTATATTCCTTAATTAAGGGATATTGGAGTCTCTGGGCCGGTAAGAGCTTTCCAGAGTCCCTCATTTGCTGCTTCATGGCCAGGTGTCCATGGATCCTGTAACGTGCAAGAAAACGCAACATCGCTTGCTTTATGAAGGGTTTAGGGTTTGGGGTGTAGGGTTTCGGGTTTAGTGTTTTTAAGCAACTAGGCTTCGTGGGGATTTGGACACCTGCTTCACAGAATGGTTTTGATGGATGCCGGGCTTTCCTCCACCCTGCAAGAAGTCGGCTCTCCGTGTCATCGGCTTCCATCTAGTTCTGTCTGCATCGAAGACGAGATTCTGCATATCACCACCGCCCGCCCCCTACAACAAACAGGTATGCCCTACTCGGACGCGACCTGCAGTTCAGCCCTAAACCCTAAACCCTAAGCCCAAATCTGTGCCAGGACCAAGCAAGGTGATGGAGGAGCTTGGCTGATGTTCAGGGCTGTCATGTGCCGTCACCCCTGTCGTCATGGATGTGGTCAAAGATTTCAGCAGGTGTCAAGAACTACTTGTTCTTGATTTCTTTCGGGATGCCAGTCAGGTCTGAATGTTTGCAGCATGGCCAGTCAAGAGGGTGCCAAGCAGGTTTGAGTCCGACAAGAATGTTGCGCGTGTGGCTTCATGGGCCTTGCCGATGCGACGTGCCTTGCTGCAAGGCTAGCAGGAGGCGCCGGAAGGTCTGTTTCGTGAGGAGAAGCCATGTTCTGGCATGCTTTTGCAGCAGCGGCCTACTGCTGTATGTCCTGTTCTTGTTCCAGCTCGACGCTACGGCCAAAGAGCACTGGTTTGCAGGATCCTGGTCAGCCGTTCGCCTGCCAGCCTCCGCAGACACACCAGTAACTCCGGATCCGAAGTCCTTGAAGAAGCAGAGGTCAGTCGATCTGCAGGCAGAGAAGAAATCGAAGCCCTTGCCGGTACAGGAGGTGACCACAGCTGCACCGGCGAGCATCGTCGTACCTACGACTCCTGCCCCCTCTTCGTGGAGGCTGCCACTGGATTGGCAGAAGACGCAGCTGGGTCCAGGGTTTCCGGACGAGATTGATTCTGCATGGAGCGACATCGGAGTGATGGCGTCAGGGGATGTGCTGCGAATTGAGGCTGAAGGT